CAGCAGTAATGCAGTGTTCCTCTATGAAATAGCTGACTTACTTAAGCTTGGAAAATCCTTTCAAAGCCATGTGCATCAAATAATTTCCATATAAAATATGCATCTTAAGACGGTCTTATTTTTATAAGCTCTTGACAAAAGAGGGAAATGGCAAATATATGTTAAAATAAAGAAGTCGTTGGCTTTGGGTTTGCATTGCAAGCACGCATATTCCAACAGTCTAAACAGGAAACATTTGAGACAGAGACATTTAACCCATTTATCCTACTTCTCAGTCCACCCTTCTTCAGTGTCAAATATTACTCTTTCACCACTTGCATCACATTTATTTCCGCTTTTCAGTGTTTCACCTGTAACACTTTTCAGAATTTCACTAAACACAGTATGGAACTCCCAAAACCCTGTAAGACTGACTTACTCTGATAAGTCTGAAGATCTATTACAAAACTTAAAATATGAAGATTTGTATTTGCAAACCAGCTAAAATTCAACACAGCACAGCTACAGGCTTGCTGCCACTTTCAAAGTCTCCACAGTTTTACCTAGAGGTTTTATTTTTAAACAGAATGAAATAAGGCAGTGAAATGAGAGTAAGTGAAATAAATGAAAGAGAATAAATGAAACAAAATAAATGAAATAAGTGTCAGATCACTTATGACATTTATGGTTCTTGATGCATCAGGCACATTCCATCATGAGAGTGGCATTGTACAAGTTTAGGTCAAAGAGCAGTATGTAATGATATTATTTATTTATTTATTTGGCAGGATAGTTTTGAAATAAGACTTTTCTTTAACTCTACAGAAAAATATCTAACAATTTCTGGTTTCTTTATTTATTGCAAAATTAATTTAGGGCTGGGAACAAAAGTGCCAGGAGTCTCCATACACTATAAAGAAACAATAGCCCTCCCACTCCCCACTTAAAAGGCACTTATATCTCCTGAGGGCCAAGGATGCATCAAGAGATGTCTCTTGAATTTTGAAGCCAGAGATCAGAGGTACAGAAAACTGTGGCCCAAACAAAAAAAGCTGAAGAAGATGGTCTCACTGTATCATAGAGAACAACTTTGAGGAAGAACTGTAACAGCTTTCAAGTATACAAAAGTGCAAAGGGAAAGGTATTGAAACGCTTTCCTTAAATACTGTGGATAAGACAAGAAAAAATGAGCTGATTTTTGTTCTTGCAGAATAATGTTTAATTTAGATTAGATGTTCTGAAAAATTTCTGAAAGTTTATCTATTGGAGCACTGCAACTGCCTAGGGAAGCAATGGATTCTCCATCAACTGAGATTTCTCAAGAGAGTGTATTTGTATACTTCTCAGGAACATTATAGCTATAACTGACCTCTCTGGTGCAAAGGAATAGCCTAGCTAAGGGGACTCACAAACTATCAGGTGCAGTATATCAGGTTAATCTGAGAAAGCAAAACAGAGCAGTTAAACATGGTAAAAACCAGGGATATCAAAGTTCAAGTACTATTAAACAGTTGTTCATTTTAAATGCAAACATTTAAATAATGCATTTTAAAAAATAGTTGGTGTCTTTCAAACTGCCGTTCATCCTTATGAGTAGGTAAAACATAAATTCTGAACATAACTTGACATGAACTCCTGTAGCAAAAAAGGAGTTACGTGAGCACAACAAAAGCGAACGTGGAACAGAATTTATTTTACTGAATGTGAAGGCAAAAATGTACAATACCCATCAAGTACAGGAATACTCAACACCCATATTTGTGATTAAAGATGGAAAGAGATTAACTCTCACGAAGATTTTAAATTATTCTCATGTACTTAGTATCATGGTCTTTGCAGTCTTTTTCACAAGAGCAATATCATTAAAATTAAGATATAAGTGGGGAAAAAAGAGTATGTTTGGGTTTTTTTAAATAGATTTAAAGCAGAAAAATATTAGCATTTTAAAAATGAATAATGGATTTTAGAAACGTGCACTTACCAATACAATCCCCATTTGCATCCTGCTTATATCCCATGTTGCACTCACATCGGTAACTAGAAAGGGTTGGTATACAACGGCCATTTAAGCAAAGGTTGGGATGATGCTTACAGATGTCTACTGTCTGATTGAGTATTGCTGATAAAAGAAACGGAACCTGAGATAAATATTAATATTTTCAAATAGAAATAAATATAATGGTTATAGAGGCTTCAGAAAGTATTACCAGGTGTGTAAATATATCCATCAAATATATAATATTTTTTCCAAGAACTATCTTTTGACATGACAGTAAACTAACAAAATCAATTAATAAAAATACTCTTAGAACTCTCAGTAATTCTCAGTAACTCTCAGAACCAAAAAACACATTAGACAAACAGTCTTAATTTTGAATTACCATTTATACGTACAGCCTCATGAGATTGTCAGTGGCCTCATGAACAAACCACAATCTGGGCGAAAGTTGAAGCAATCTGTTCCTATATGTTTACTATTTTTGGAATGCCTTTCTTAATAATACTCCATCCTAGAGATGTGCTTATGCATGTTATAAGCAACTCTACGGATATGAGACTTCCCTCTGAATATTATTCCTCTTGGGCTCTCAGTCAAGTCAGTATCCCTGCAGTCGGTATTCCTGAAGAATAGGTAAGTTTTACTTTTGGAAGAACAAAGAAAGAGAAGTTTATTTTAAACCCTTGTGTTTTTTGAAAACGCTTAAAAATCTGGAGTTTTATTAGTACTGACCATGACAGATCAGAAGGAACAACACAGGCTCAAGGACTCTATAACTGAAGAAAAGCAATCTCTACATCTAAACTCTTATTAAAAAAAGGGCTCCTAACCCTCCCAACATATTAACTGAGGTCTCTTAAATGTGCTTCAATACAAAGGCATTTCTATGCGTTAAGAACGCCATATCATTTCCAGACTAAAAACTAAGCAGAAAAAAGGAAAAAATGGAAGGAATAAAAAAAAAAAAAAAGCGAGAAACAAGTCACAACAATGCAAGTACTTACTTAGCCCTGTAATTACTGGTCCATTTCCATTGGGACTTTGAACACCTGTTCCTATCCCCGCTCCACCTACGCCTGGGGATAAACCATTGCTTCCCAGGATGGGAATGAATCCTGCTCCTCCTGGGCCATAGCCATTGCCATTGCCACCAGGAAGGAACCCGTTTCCTCCTGTCCCACCACCTCTGGAACGACCTCCAGCAGAAGCACCATCTACACAAAGTCTGCGGTGTTCATCTATTAAATAGGAATGAACAGAGAAGTGTAAAGTAAATCAACCCTTCAGAGGTTGTACAAGGAAGGTACAGATCTTTGTATATTCCAATAAACAGAACATCAACTCCTTATTTCTTAGGTGTGATATGTTCCCTCTCCCACTCCTAATCTCAGGCAGATCCCATGACTGTGACAGGTGTTATTTAAGGAAGGACACTAAAAATAATAGAAGGTAATATTATAATTTACAGCTATTTGCTGAGCCTTTTTGTTGATGTTTTGCCAGCTGCACTGTAACTTCCTGATCACTCAGCGTCACTCAGAGACCTTGATATTGATAAACTGAAAATACATTTCACTAGGGATGTGGAATACTGTTCTGTGAGCAGAGTTGAAAGAATAAATGAAATATTGACACATTCCTGGTTCAACGTAGCCCAAAATTTAATGGAACAAGAGAGCAGCTGTACCTTTAAATCAAAAAGTATGGACCTCAGAATTTGTTTCCTCTTTGAGCTTGACCACAAAATCTTTCCCATTTCCTAAGAATTATTGCCAAAGTCAACAAAAGAATGTTAAAGATACTAGTCCCAAACAACCATGAACCCCCAAAAATGGCTCACAGATAGTAACACCAGTATCGAAACCATAGGTATGAATAATAATGTAATTCCTGACTTTCTTTTTCCATTTACATTTTAAATTAGTTTGTATTTCAGTATTAGGATTGATCCTAAGCAGAATGGACACCAAGGAAGAGAAAACAAACCAATAAGCCACTCACCAGACTCTCTGACAGGACACATCTCTGGAACAGACCCGATGGCCCAGCACTGGCCAGACTCACAGCAGCACTGCCTTTTGGTGAACATACCAGGAAGCTCCTGTGCACAGCGGCCATTCACTATGTTGGAGAAACATGTACTTGCCCTCTGATCTGGAAATTAATTTAAAAAGAAAACCAAAAATAGTAACACAAACTCTTAAAATTACCACACCTTATTCAATTCATGTAAGGACTAAAATTTTTAAAAAGTTGTATTAAAAACCAAAGCAAACAAACAAACAGAATATCCCAAAACACCTAATAATTATCTGAGGTCATTAGCATGAATGCATTCCTCATCTGGTTTACTGCAGAATCACATAGTTGCAGTGATGCTAGTATTGCATAAATCCAACACACAATCTTAAAGTCTGCTCAATGTAACAGGAAATACAGATGATACAAAAGAGACAAGGCAATAAAAGTAGAAACTAAATACAAATATGTAAAAAGCCTACCATGCCAAAATCGGGACATCTCACGTAAAAACATCAACATCACTAAATTAATTTAATGATTTTTTTCCTTGGTGTAGATGTATCTGACTGAAGAAATGCTATCCAATCTGTTCTGTCCAGTAGACTGAATGTACAACTATAATTTATTACTGCCATGTGAAAACTACTCTACATAAGTATGTCAGTGTTTATTATTATATTCTAGTTTCTTCAAGGACACCGCCTAGACCTTTTATTGTCACATTCCTGAATGCTGACTATGAGAAAAGCTCAATGGATTTCAAAAGACATGGTAGTAATTACAATAACTGAGCACATCCTGGTTTTTTGGTTAAAAGCGCGTATTTATCTTAAATTGGGAAGAATAAAATAATTTGTATTAATAAGGATTACATTCTTCACTTTTCCCCTAAGGAGAAATTATACAACGTATACAAAATATACAAATTATAGTCCAATACTACAAACATTTAGAAGCACAAGAACTTTCAGACAAATTTTCATTTAAGAGAAGGAAAACCTGTGAGGTAAGGGCCTGCTTTAGTGCACTACAGCATGTGATTTGTGTGCAATTGGTTTTGGGAACCGACTTTGGCAACCACAGTGTAAACCATGCCAAAATCCATACACATTTTGATCATATTGGAAATCATATGTTCTCAGTATTCTTGAGGTCAGCCACAATATATTTGAAGTCTGGCACTCCTCAGATGACCCTGAGTAACAAAAGCTGGCTATGTTGTGCAAAAAACTATCCATGTGAAATCATTCGTAGGTCTTGTGTTGCTACTGGCTTACATCATTTATCTGTAGTTCAAAAATCCTTTCAGAATTCCCATCCCTTTCCCAACACGGAAACAAAGTGCTTTGACATGTCTGAAATAATAAGAACCACATGAGATCTAGAAAAGACACAGCTATTAGCAATTGTTAGGTTTTTACACATGGTATGCAGTACTACAGCTAATTCATGAGTATGGTTTATATCATACATTTGACATGTGCAGCTTTATAAAAGAAATTACCACATGTGAAAATAAGCATACATTTTTTTATAATATAGAAACAGATTTTAAATAAATTTTCTTGTAAAAACTGCATCTACTGAAACCAAATATTTGATTTGTTTTAGTATCTGTTCCAGACAAATTACTGGCGTCTCACCATACATTATTTAATGCTTTCTGAACTTATATATGTGCCTTATGTTTGCCTCTAAAGGTTAAATTAACGTACCTGAGATGGAACTTGAAATACCAAGCAAGAATAAATGTGTGCTCCTTTAGGACCAAAGTGAGCTTAGCTTTTGGTTTCATCAGATGCAGATTAGAGAAACAAATATAGTGAACTTTTCTTAAGTTTGCCTTAACAGAGAGTTATTAGTTGCTTTTTTCCTAAGAAGATCCAGATCTCAGGGAGGAGTTCTCAAGTTACAATACAGTCGACAAAGAGAGATCTACAAGCCACATAAAGATGGTTGCAGTGGCATCAGAAGAGGATGTTATGAATTTTAAGTAGCTGGAGCAGGGATAATAGTGAGCACAGGTTATCATCAGGGCAGTGCTAGATGACTGGGACAGAAGTTCTTCTGCTGTTTATAAGTTGCCTTAATAACTTTGAGAGCACTAAAAGCCTTCAGGGTGAAATGCCTACCAATACAGTGGGAGCTATCCACAGATGTGACATAACCCCGTGTGCAGATGCAGAAATAACTTCCCACAGTGTTAGAGCATACACCACCTTCACAGATTCCTGGGATGATGCTGCATTCATCAATATCTAAGCAAAAAGGAAAAGACATGAGATAATTAGCAGAGCACTTTTATACAGTGTATAAAAAGAGGGAAAGACCTTTTCTGATATGAAACTGCTATTAAAGTCAGACTGAACAACAAATTGCTGGTTTGAATACTGCAAATAATTTTGTTCGCCATCTAATGGAGGATTTCCTTATACATTCAAGGGGTATACCACTTCAAGTTGAAGAGCACATGAGCGCAGCCTGGAATTTCCCAGTGACACACGCTGACTGCCATCTCTAGGAAGCACACAACAGCTACAATGCAACATCAAAATACTCATCTGGCTCTTGAATGGAAGGAAGGAGGATAGGATGGCAGCCAAGTATGACAACTCTGGGCTTCTGCAACCACAGAAATATTGCTTATCAGATCTGACTGCTTTCTAACCTTCTAGTACTCCAACTATAAGCCAGAATTTTGGCCAATATATTCAAATGCAACCAAATGTTGCATTTTTAGTTTTTTTCAGATATTTTTAATTCATTCAAATGTTTCTGCTAACTAAAAGCAGTGCTCTCATCTGAACACTGAAACAATTTTGTATGTAAATACATATAAAGTGAGATGTCATCAAGCTGATGAATGAGCTGCTGTATGTAACAAGGGGGTTGCTAGGGCATTCAGCACCAGCTTGAGAGCACTGTCTGCTGTCCCAGCACAAACTGAAAGCAAAATTAGGAGCTGAGGCAATGAGAAGCAATAGGAGGAAGCAGCCTGACTGTATTGTTAGAGATGTGAAGCACAGCAAAGCAAACTGAAATGAAAGAACTACGAGTGAAGAACAGCATGAGAGTAAAGATTGGGTCATGACCATTTATAAAAATGAGCCATTTAAGTAACCACTTCATTCTACAACTGTGACAATCTTTAGACATATAAATATTTGTATGGGTTTTTAGTAACCTGATTTTACTTTTAAGTGACCTCTTTACACTAGCTCTTCGAGTGGCTTTCAATGAATGTGAACTGTGGCCCAGGTTTAACATGGGAGGCATTCTGAGAAAACATGGGACAATGTGGGCCAACTTTCTAACTATCTTGAGATTGGTAATGTTTTCCACTTGGAATGATGTAATACCACAGGTTTTGCCTGGCTTGATACAAAAGGTAGTCATAGATACCAGACTTCAGCTTGAGTTGTTTGTAAAAGTCTGGGTGCAGTATTAATTTTAATCAGCTTTCATACCGTGAAGCAAAAATCTAAACAAAAAAGTCAGACTGTTGAACCCAGACTGTCTTGTGTCAAATAATGC